TTGGAAACAGGATAACATACATGTTTTTTATTCATAGGTTGCGAGAGGCCAAACTATACGGAAGGAAGGCGGCAATGAAACAAAACCTTACCCTACGTAACATGATAGACAGGTTGGGGTTTGCATACGTCTATCAGGGGTGGAATGCCGACGAATGGCAAAATGTAATCTTTTCAGATGAATAAATTTTTTCATCTGCAAACACCGGTCCTGTGTGGGTGCGTCGACCACCCTGTACTCGACATGAGCGTGAGTACGTGTGGAGCACCGAAAGAAGCGGGCGTTTTACAATTGGTGAGTGTTTTAATGTTGTGTTTTTGTATCGTTAAACTCTTGAACATGACAACTTATCTGCTTGTGCATTACATAAATCACAACTTTATGGACTTTTTCTGTTCACAGGTATATGGGGATGGATGTCCGCCGCCGGTCCCGGGAGTTGGTCCGCATAGACGGTCACCTCACCGCCGTGCAATACCTCGAAATCCTAAAGCAGGTATTGNTATTAAAAAATCTCATTAAATCACAATTAAGTGATAATTATGCGTCATTAAAGGTAGATTAAAATAGCAATAAATTTTTTCGCTCAGAAAAAAATTTTTGCAAAAATTGACCTGAAAAACATCCAAAAATTAAAGAAAAACATTTTTAGAGACGAAAAGGACCGAGTTTTCCATAACGCTATACAAACTTGACGAGTTTTCTGGTGAAAGGAGAGAAAGGATTTAAATTAATTAAATACGTTTGAGAATACCTGCAACTGAAGATAGTTTGTTGTATTAGGTTGAAAACATTAAGGTTTCTTTGATAAACGGTTTCTTTCAGCATCAGGTAGGCCTATTTATTATTTAAGGAGCTGAGTAAGATATTAGCAACATGGCAGTACAGGCCAAGAATTATAAGCTTTATAGAAAGATGGCATTGAAGATCATAAAGGCAAATTTTAAATTAAAATTTCTTAAGCAGTGTATGCTTAACAATGTTTATTCGATGTCCATTTATACTGTAGAATCAGTATACCAAAGAAATGTGTTTTATTGAAAAAAAATTGTCGAAAAAAATATAAGAATTCAGAATTGCATTCAAGTATAAACGTTAGTTTTAAGAGTAATAACTAATTGTTAAAAAGTAAATTACAGCATGAACGAAATGAAAACGGAACATAGAGAAAAGGCAGGGAGCAAAAGGAAAAAAAACAAAGGAACAAAGCCAAACCTAGCATAAAAGTATAAATATTGTTTGCACATGTTACACTCAAATACATAAAACAAAAATAATCTAATAAATGTTAAATATGATATTAAATATAATGAAAATTCATAAACCAGAAAAAATGAAAAATGCGTTTTTCCATAAAGATCGTGACTTTTTGCAAACCCCAGATGATTTGCATTGTTAGATAATAAAAGATAAATAGAAAAATTGAATACGAAATCGTAAATACCGATGCGTAAGACAACTTGGCTATTATAGATTAGTCAAGTGATGTTTGTGAGCTGAGACAGATGCGATACCATTTGTTGGCATAACGCGATTGACGATGGAACAAATGAAAAATTGCCAAACATATAGGTATTTAGTGTTATTTTGCAAACACTAAACAATAAAAAATCAGGAGTAATTTATAAAATGCGAAATTTTAAACTGAAAATTTTCTAAACTCGTGAGCCGTGTCAGATGCAACCAAAAATTATGTCGTCTGGAAAAATTCCTTAATTTTGAAACTATGTAAGGGCAAAACTGTGTTGGATAAATGCCATCTTGTACAAAAAATACCGGTATCTTACTGAGATATCGATGATCATAAAATGAAATCATTTTACGATTTTTAAGAATAGGCAGTAATATTAAAATTTTAATTTCTTTTTTATTGATTTACTTTTTCACATTATACCAGCATTGGAATTTTTGTTATTGATTTCAGATATTATATATATAACTTTGGTATCTGTAAAAATATACATAGTATAAACGGTTAATTATATTGTTACTGTTTCTTATCCTGAAAAATGTTATATACATATCTAATTATAAAATTTAATTAGTTATCGTGTAGTGCATCCGATTGCTAATCATATAGGGTATGTAAAACTTAACGATACGTGGACCGNGCAATTCTCTACTCTTTGAGTTATTGATTCCTGCTAATTGGGTTGCATTCGGGCCTATCGACGGTCGATTTGTTTTTTAAATTTTGTTCTCTAAACGTTACCGACGGAACTCTGTCCAAGTCTCGCGTTTGTTTTTGGTCTACGGATCTATCTTCCGATGAGTGCAATGCTAAAAATCGAGGAGCGGCTACGTTGTTCGGCGCGCGCTCTGTATCGAAGCTACTTCCGGACCAACTCGGACCATAACGTGGGGAATAAAAGGGCAACGGAACACCTTGTCCGTTGTTTTCGTATGCAAATTGTGTAAATTGTGTAGGGAGAGAAGGTATCGGTTTTGCCTGACTCATTATAAAGGGGTTCGGCAGTTTTCTAATGGAGTTTTGCCATTCGGGTGTGTCTCGACTCTTTTCCCACCTTCCGTGAAATTGAGAAGGAGCATTTCCTCCGTACCACTCGAGGAGCGTTGGCATGAACTCTCCGTGTCCTGCCAAACTAGGGTTCATCGCGTAAAAGTTTAAAAATCTGTCTCCACTTCCTCTCCAAGGGGGCATCAAACCTTGTCCCTGATTCCGATTAGAATAGAAGCTGTAGCAAGGATATCGCGCGCGGGGTTGTCCTTGCGGGTTAGCGGGTTGCGATCGCGGGAAAAATCGATGTGATTCGCGGCGCGGGAGACTCAGGAAATAACGCGGATTTCCCAATTCATTTTTTATCCTTTTAGTTCCTTGTGTCCGGTTAACACGTGAAAATTCTCCTCTTTGAAAATTATTTATTGACTTAGGCGCTGGCGGTTAATCAAGTCTTTTTCCTAAGGTTGCTAATTGTTTCGACAATTGCGCGATTTTTGCATCGAGAGCCGATTCTCTCCGCGAATTGACTTCCTCCGACTGTGAACTGCGATCCTCTACCGCATCGTCGACGCTGGCGACTACATTTCGTGTTTTTCCTACTAGCTGATCTATTGTTTCCTCGCTGATTGCTACCCTCAGCGCTTCCGCAAAGGTCGCCAAATCATGGGTCATCACCTGTCGCTTCAGCTTATCGTTCAGTCCATGCAGAAATTGGACTCGCAACTTTTCATCAAATATTCGCTGTTGACAGAGTTTGATAATTACGTTTTCCTGTTCATTCGCGCCTGTTTGCTCTATCATTGTAGCGCTGGCCAGGTTATGCAATCGAACTGCGAATTCTTGTGCTTTTTCGTCTCTTTTCTGCATGCACGCGTGAAACTTCTGTACGCGTATCAAATATGGTTCTCTATCAAATCGTTGAATCATTAACTTTTGGAAAGTCTGGAAGTTCGTTACGCATTTCATGCTGAGGTCATGCCACGCGAAAACTCGGGCTATGCCTGCGAGCTTGCATTTGGCTATGCTCAGGCATTGTCTAGGCGTCCATCCTGCTAGACTCGCGATTTCTTTCAGCGTGTCAAAAAAATTTGTCACACGCCCTGTTTTACCCGAGAAGGTCGGGATCACTTCTCCAAACGCGGAAAAGAAGGAAAGAGAACCGCTATTGCCACCGTCTCGAGGTCGTTCGGGGACACTTGCATCTGGCTCCATCCTTCAACCCACTTTGAAAAAATTCTTTTATCAGCAAAACTTACTTAAATTTTAGTGGGACTAAAATATCCCGAGCTTCTGACACCAGTGTAAGTTCGCCGACTTCAGGGAGGGGATCGTTAATCTCGGGTCAGAATGATCTAAAGTCGAACGCGTGTGGGTGTGGCGAAGGAGACACAGATGACAAGAATCGCACACAAATCTGTTTAATTTAACAGGAAATAACTTACACTATGTACAAAGTTCTTTAACCAATTAAATGTTCGTAAGTTTTAAACGTCGAGGATGTTTTTCTATCGTCACTCGGAGATGGGCCCCGGGGCTGCGGCAGGTAAAAAGACTTGTCGGTAGGCGTCGGCAGCACGGCTCTCTCGATGGACACTAGTGCAGACACTTCGTCTTCTGTGCGTCGACACACAGAGAGTTTTCGGTTCGGACTTTTTGGAGTGCAGGTACTCCGTAGCACAGTTTACGGAAGAAGTCCCTCTCCCCTTGAAGATCGGGGATTATATCAATCTCCGTTCTTCAATTTGTTTTCTGATTAACTCCCTCGTCTGTTTCTAAGCGAAATACGATACCTTTTCGAGTCACGAGAAAGATCCGCCTTGAAGAATTACTCGACACCATCCGTTATTCTGGCTGCAAAATGTTGATGAAACTTTGAAACTTGCGCTCATATTTTCCACCATTGTTGTCTAGTCTGTGACGTTTTAGAAATTTAACGACACGACGCGATGTCCTTTTTCGACATTAATTTTTCCTCTTTTCAAAATTTCTATGTTCTAATTATGTGCATATGAACGATTTTTCAAAGGTCCATCTTTACTGGAGGTCGTTTCTTTACAATTATTAATTAATCATTTAAAATTATTACATCCTGTTTACATCAATAAAGTTGTTTTTTTCTCTCGTCGCGGTTTCATATGAATAACACAACTAATTCGATCTTTGATCGGATTTTAACAATAGACGATTTTTTCTAGTTTCTGTTTTAATAAATTTCTAATAATAAATATTTAATTTCAACTCATTTTTGGGACCTCACAAACTTGACTGACGATTGGTGCATACAGACGTGTAGTCGAAGTGTATATTTAAAATAACTTATGTGTATGTAATAAATCTCTTCAATAAAATAAGTTACGCTTTTTATAAATATCGCAAAATACTTACATAATAATAGAAATAATCCGAATTTTTTGTTACTATATAAGCGACACGAATAACGAGAAAATTAATCAAAAATGATGTCATCGTTATCTTCGATAAGAACAAAAAATAATGAATCATTCTCATTATTCTCGTGATTAATCCGCTTAGCTGTCCGTCGACAACGGAACAACAAATGCTAGTGTAAAGCGCAAACACTCCCGTCTCACTTAAAATAGAAGAAACGACAAGACCGTGATCAGTAAAATGAGGTTGGTAATCATTTTTCCATTTTTATTATCTCTAGTAAATTGCTGCCAACATTTCTGGAATCAATGGGGAAACTTCTCTTGTAAGGCACCAATATACAAATGTAGAGGAAATACATTTTATATTATGAACGGTACAGAAATGATATTTCGTTGGAGTCATACGAATATTAATTCTTGTATATCGAATGCTGATAGGTGCCATATATCCAATAAGCATTCGTTTGTGGAAATCTTCAACAATACGTTATCTGTCACTTGCAGCGACGAAGAAACTATCGATTTTCGTGTGATTCGTTGTTTAAATGTTAAACACGTTAAAAATTTAAAATTTATCGATTGTTACTTTTCGAAATTTGCATTCGAAAAATTCGCTTCGAATTATGCCATCGAAATAATCGTCATAAAATACACCTTAAAATCCAAACGTGAAAGGCTGAAATTCGAAGGTGGAAGGTTGAAACTCGAAAGTGAAAGGTTGAATTTCGAAAGTGCATCATTTATTAATATGTCGTCTCTGAAACACTTAGCAATTAAAAATGTAAGAACTTTCGACATATTAAATTTGAGTTTTGACGGCGATTCTTCTTTGATTTCCTTGAAAATTACGGATTATAATTTTACGTCGTTTCTGTACAGACCATTCCAACAATTGAAAAATCTTTCTGAATTACAATTGAACGATGGTAAATTAAAGTCTTTGCCAGAAGAACTGTTTCATGGTCTTTATAATTTGAAAACCCTGGATTTAATTTACAACCTAATTGAATTCGTTCACCCTTTCGTCTTTCGACATCTCACTTTATTAGAACAGTTAAATTTGAGTAATAACAAAATACAAAGTTTACCTAAAGAACTCTTTGGTGGACTTGATAATCTGAAATCCCTCGATTTAAAAAACAACTTTATTGAATATCTTCATCCTTTAGTCTTTCGACATCTCACTTTATTGGAACAGTTAAATTTGGAACATAACCTAATGACAAGTTTTCCTAATGACTTGATGAAAGGTCTTTCGAACTTAACAATATTTTCTATTTCTGGAAAATCCTCTCATTCTAAATATTTATTTTCGAAGGGACCACACAATGTAACACACCTGCGCTCTGTATTACTGAAGGGACTCGACAATCTGACAGAATTTCGCGCTTCTTATTTTCCTTCACTTCGAATCGAAGAAGATTTCTTTTCCCATTCCATGAACTTAAGAAAGGTTGATTTCAGTTTCAACGAATTTTTGCATCTCCCGTCCAATCTGCTCAAAAATAACAAAAATCTACACATTTTTCTATGCAGATGGAACGAATTATCGACAGTACCAAACGGTATTTTCGATGGACTTTCTAAGCTGAAACAAATCAGTTTATGCGGAAATCGTCTAGAAAACATTCCAGAAGATACTTTCCGAGGTTTGTCGAATCTAGAAGAAGTGGATTTATCATCTAATCGCTTGACATTTTTACCTAAAAATACTTTTCTTCCAACAAGTAATTTACGAATACTCGATCTTTCTGAAAACAATTTCAGTAAAATTTCTTTCGAATTCAACAATAAACTCGAACGACTTGATTTGAAAAATGCGGGTTTGACGGAATGGCCGAATTTAAATTGGACAAAATACAATTTGACTTATGTTTATGCTCCATTTAACCATTTCGAAACTGTCAAATTGCCGATTTACACTCCGAACCGCATGGAGATGGATTTGGATTACTGTCACATAAAAACCATTTACATAGATGAATGGAAATACGGATTTAATAGACCCAGTTATAAATTAGTTGAAAATCCAATAACTTGCGATGGGGAACTTTTGCATTTCATCAGCACCGTTCAATCGAATTTAGAAATTTCATTACAAATTTTTCCGGACGTAATATACAAGAATTGTCACGGAGAAGAAAGAAAATTGTTGGAGTTTACGCAATTCTACGCCATTAGAAGCCATTGTCCAATGAACTGCGAATGCTTCTCGGAAAACGACGAACTGAAGGTCGACTGTAATGGAAAGGAAATAGAAAAAATACCCGAATTTCTGATCGAAAATGCGACAATCGTCGACTTGAGCAATAATTACATAAGTGAATTGTCGACTGTAGATTACCGAACGTGGGGCAAAGTCACTCGTCTGCACCTGAGCAACAATTCTCTATTGCATTTTCCGGATTGTGCCTTTTTGTCAAACGTAAAATTTCTTTGGTTAGACGGAAACCGATTAACCGAATTGCCTTACGGATTAATGAACATGATCGACGTTTCTGCTGAATTCACGGTGTACTTGTCGAGAAACAATTGGACTTGTGATTGCCTTTCAAGATTTACTAAAGACTGGTTGCTTCGAAACAAAAGGAAGATTGCAGATTTCTCGGAAATTTCATGCGAAAGAAATTCGTCTGTTTTCTCTTTCACCAGTATTATTTCTAATAATCAATGCACACAAATCCCAGAAGATAATTTGATGTCGACAAAAAATGTTTCTTGTACAAAAAGTGTTTGTTCTGAAGAGGTTTATAATTTTGGATGGAAAATCGCAGTTGCTGTGTTTGCTTTTCTACTGTTGTTCAGTTGGATTATGTTTGCTTCCTTTGTTTATTGTCGTAAAAAAGAAATGTCGAGAAAGTGGCAGAGCCCAAGGAAGAAGAAGCGATTTATTACAATGTTTACAACTGATAATTTCTGTCAATTCGAATGTATCGAGTTTAAACGCTTTAATAAATAATTTTTCACAAATTGTTGTTCTTCTGTATTTGTTTGTATAGAAATTAATTTTGTACACTTTAGATATGCTACGCTTTGTTAGTAAATTTTGATTGTGAATTATGTAGAATAATGTTTATTAATTACGTAATAAATCAGTGAATTTAAAAAGAAGAGAATTATTTAATTGATGATTTGAATGAAAACTGACGGTATTATTGTTACGATCACAGTGTAACAACACGTAGACTATAGAGAGTTTCGATTCCATTGATTTTACCTCGCAGTCGATAACGTCACGAACAGAAGCGCCTCTACGAAGACCGAGCGTGCTTCGTCTCGATTAATTAACAATGCAAATAGTATAGAGGGCAAAGCGTGTTTGTCTCAAAAACACTGGGAGTTCGGTCGAGGGTTCGCGCCGTACTTAGACGGGCTGGCCACGTGCAGTTTTTCGGATTTTGTCAACGTCTGTATCTTCTAAATAGGTCCCAGTTTCTTATAAGTCTTCCTTAATGGCATCATTCCTTTGCGCTTACGTATCGCCGAAAAGATACGAGAAGCTTCGGCCTGCTCGTCGGACGCATACGTTTATCATCGTTTCTTCGGAGGAATTCTTCAACTGCAGAATTATAAGGCTATAAGCTCGATGCCGCTATTAAAGCAAGAATCAGATTGATTGATGAGAGTACTGACCATTTTTACTTTTTAAAATCTTATTACAAACATTACCTTCTAAGTTAGAAGTTTGATTTAAGTTTTTTTCTTTAATTTTCAACTTAATTCAAATGCATTTTTTTTTGTTGTTGTTGCTGCAGTTTCAAGCAAACATTAATAATTTTTTTTATTGTGAAAATTTCTACGCAATTTAAAAGTAATTTTTAATATATATTTTACACGGCATTATTAATATAATTTTGCAGGTTGTTTTACGTATTAAATTACTTTGCGGAATGAAAAATAATTATATCATTTGATTCGAAGATATTTTGTATATTTTAAGAATAATTAATATTATGTCGGGACAAATTAAAGACCGGGAAATGAGAATCCTTATGCCATACGAACACAAGAATAGAATAGAATATCGATATAAAATACGACACGCTTTACAAAAAAATATTTTTTACGCATTATCCAAAGACTTTTAAAATAACAAAATATTCTAGAAAACCTGAACCTAATTTTCAGTTTTGCTGCCGAAAAATCGGGTGTTTATGTTCATTCAAGTTTAAATAAAAAATTATTAAAAGAAAACGAAGAATAGAAAATGAGTTCTGTCAGAAACTTGCCAAGCAATCGAGGTTATGCCGTGTAGCGTGATACAAATTCGTCGGCTGCAAAGTACTTTATAATATATAAAGTGTTATAAAAAGAATTTCTAAAGTTTTTCTAATTTAAGGACATTTTGTATTTATAGAAACTATTGGTTATTACTAATTACGTCCGGATTATCGAAGGAACAGCACAACTTGAGGGAATTTACTGGTCAGATTGTTTTATTTCTGCATCCGAATAAGTAATTATATTATATTTCAACCGAATTAAACATTTCTTGACAAATTTTCTGAAAAACAATATACCTCGGACGTGGTTTTCCTGTTCGTATAATAAAATAACGACACTTTCAACAGGAATTTCTCAGCGACTTTTTAAATCAAATTTCTGATTTCTATTTGATATTCGGCTGGAAAACCTTTCTGGAGAAATTGTACAGAGATGGAAGTCTTAAATTAAGGTCTACTGTGTCTGCTGGTCAAAATATGTTGTATCGTAAAGATTATAGAAATTGATATCCCATCTAAAGTAATTGTACCCGCATCTGTTCCTCGTTCATTTATACATAGAACCCCAGACGGTGCCAACTCCGAATGAAATCCGTGGTTCATCCCACATACTTATCTGAAATTGCTGCAAGGACAGTCATATTTGACATGGAAAGAAAATTGTCAGAGAAAACCAAAGATGCGGGTTCTGATGGGTGTGTTAGTTACAAATTTGATCGGTCGTTAAAAGTCGAAAAAATGGTGGAATAAAGATGGGTCATTGGTAATATTTCGAGTAAGGTCAAATTTCGTTTGGTAAGGTAGCTTGTGTATAAGGGCTGCCTTCTTATAAGGTTTATCAATTTACTATGGAGAGGAAAGATATGTGTAACTGAATCGTTTATATTAACTTTGTGGGGATTAATAAATGATCAAAACATAAATCAAAACAAAGGCTTTATTTAACTATTCATATAATTTAACTTACAATTGTACTCTATCTACAAATTTCTGTGACTATTTTTTAACGTTTCAATACCTCCAACAGTTACATAACTTTTTCAAATTTATTTCATACAACTTGTTATGTAAAGTTTATAACGTATGGTAATGTCAGTCAGTAAATTTTCAAACTAAACACATATCGTTTTCATCGAAGTATTCAGAATAGCATCGATCTTACATTTAAATAACGACATGTTATGTGAGTTTTTTGTTTGAAGTTAAACATTAGAGTAACATTTTATTTAAAGTTTTACGACTTGATGGTGTTATTATATAATTAAATGAGCGTATGAAATTTTCTTTGAGACTCACTTTTGCTTCTGAACACTTCAGTTTCTAAATGGTTGTACTGTACTTACTACCACTAACTGCTACTGTATATACAAATTGTAGCCTATTGCTGGTTATTTTTGCAAAAAGAATACTTTCAGTAAAAAAACAGACTTTCTTTAAGAACTTTTGCTCATATTTGCGTTAATACCTAACTCCAGTTTAACAGTCCTATTAATAATTTATGTCCAATTTGACAAATATGCATTACCTTAAGATTGGCATTACTTTAAAGCATAGCTTCTTAGATTTTTCCATTCGTGACCCCATTTTATTCGACAAAATTTTCTGCTAAACCGGTTTATAAAAGTACATTTACATTCACTAAAGCTTTAGAAGGCCACCCACCACCAATAGGTATTGCCTTGGAAAAGGAAAGATGAAGAGTTATAGTAGAAATGAAAAGAGTGAAGAGAAGAGAAAGGGAGATATAAAAGAGTAAAATATGATATCTCAGAGCTCCTTATTTTAGAGCTCATTTATTAAACACAAAAAAGAACAAATAGCCAAGATACAGTGGTATACAGTATAATTGCCTCTGTTTTAAGGCAGTGGGAACACCATTACGACTGAATTGCCTTGGAGATAAACAAACACATACGCACGAGTATACTGTACGATGTGCTGGGTCAACGCCATATTGTTGAATGTCCTTAATAAGGTCGCTCATTAACGGATGGTGCAAACCATCAGCTGGTTGTCTGAGAATTGTGTGCTTTCAGTGAATTTTTAAGACGTGTAAGTCAAGAGGCAGTATATTTGTAATTATCTGTAAATAATTTGTAGGGCTTGTCCGGTAGGCCTTCGCTCATGCGTTGTATTGATAATAGTTTCCTCTTGATATTCTGCTCAGTAGCCACTTTTTTTAAGACCTCCGCTGCCGTATGAGACTGCCGGCTTGATGGCATATTGGTAAATAGCCCAGCTAGTGTTAGAGTTGATCCCCATATATTCCGAGAAATGCACCTGAGGGAATGTGGAAGGGTGAGGGCCTTGCTGTGGACACGTTCGACATGTGGCTGGTATATAAGTACAGTACATTAAATAGGTACACAAATAAAATCACTTATATATAATAAATTATATAACAATTTTTTGATATCTGATTTTATAACAGCAAATCAGAAAATTCTGCTATGCTGTATGAAAGTTTTGCTGTTGTGAAATACTTTGGATTCCCTCATTAAGTTGCGCATTCTCGTTTGGGGTCATATTAAGATGCTCTGCAATAAAAATTGTCACGGTTACACTTATAGAAAGCTGGGATTTAATTCATGAGATCGCGTTCTGTCTAACTCGCTTGGTTCCACAAGATATAAACTTATGCCTTATATAACGCTCATCATACCAGCAAATTCAAACTGGTGATGTATTAAGAAACGGTTTACATAGCTTAAATGTATCTTGAAAAACGTTGCTTACTCAAGCGAGCTTATTGATTTAATAAGCAAGCAGTTTGTTCATGAAAATCTGGAGACAAAGTTAACAATTCAAATCTTCTCAATTAAGATAAAAAGTTTCAGATTGGTAGATAGTTTCAGAAGTCTGAACTTATATTTACTTCGAATTTTAACGTAACTTTTTTATAATTTGTTTACAATCATCTGATTTGGGTAAATCAAGAATTACGCCACTTCATTGCAGTTGCAAAAATTGTACATTTGATACATTTATATGATTGTTAAAGTCGTGAAGTTCCATTGCTTTTGTAAGATAAGCAGCGGGTCACGGGTTAATCCCACAATTACCACTTACTCTGCACACGATGGTAAAACCCGATCTCGGCGTAGTCGGATGGCTAGGAGGGCAAATCGAGTGGGGAGTGCGTCAGAAAATTGGCAGGTGCCGTTTATTGACAGGAGACAGGTCAACAGAATAACAAGCATTTATTAATTAATAGAACTAAGTTACAAAAATACTAAAGCTAAATGCTATTATATTAAAGTATTTACAGAAATTGGCGATTACGTTCTTAGCTAGGTCGCTGCCCTAGTTTCTAGTTCAGAGAAAGAGCGCTTTTATAAAATCTAACCCCTAAATACCTCTAGGTGGAAAGGAGAGTTGGCGAACGTCGTCTGTATGAAAGGGTGTGGTGTCTTCTCCGACGGGATTACAGTCCTTGGCATGGAGATCGACGAACACAAATACTAAGAAGACCTTCCGTGTGCGGACGCCCTGAGCTTCCGGTGATCTCCCCTTTTATATATTTTCGTGCGAGAGCCGACACGTCATCGCTTCTTATTCACGATGACGGTGCATTCTTCACACTTAACTGTAAACTTTCTCAGGTCGTTGTTACGAACTCGGTGAAATTCGATATAGTTTAAATTCACGACTTGGGATTGCAATCCAGCAGTGTTTTCAATCCAGCTGGATTGAAAACATATGTGCCTCTTTTTATGTATTTGTTTTAATATTTCAT